TACTCCGTTAATACGGTTTTCCGACGATTAACTTATTTGACTATTTTTGTTTTAAAATTTTTTTACAAAACCTTAAGTTGAACTTTCAAAAACATTCCCTTAGGCAAATTTTCAAGTTTTGAATATTTGTTGTTTTAAGACTTAATTTTAACTTGATAAAATAGAAAGGCGTTTCGAAAGGAGGCTTGGAGTTATTCTTACCCTAGACTAAGAGGCAATTAATGCAAAAATATAAACAAGTAGTAAAATAGAAGAGAGAGAGAGATATTTGGGTCCAAGTCTTCGGGTTCTGTTCGCCTTGACCGAAACTTGGACCCACCTGTTTTTGGGTATTTGACCCATTTTCACCTGTCCTATGCTAGACATATAAAACTAAAAATACAAGAAAGTAAATTGACAAGGGCTTATGCCCGTTACAAAATACAAAATAAAGATAAAAAAAAGTCTTCTAGTCCATCTTCTTCCATCTCCACTTGACTTTCTACATTCTTGCCGGTTTTGACGGATTGACTCTATAAGAATTTTTCGAGCCTTCATGGCTCTCTCGAGATGCGAAGAGGGAGAGTTCATAGGGAACTCAAATAGATTTTACATGCCACAATGAAATAAAAGATAAATTAGGGAATGCGCTCTTTAATAGATTTCAATTTCAATCATAAGCACGTAATCACACGGCCAATATAATGAGTCTAAGAGATGATGACGTACCAAAGAACATGAGATGAGCAAAGAGCATATTGCGACTTAAAAGATGTACACAAATGATAATAAGTAAATGAAAAATAGGAGACCGTATATACTTTCATTAGAAAACATAGTCAAAATACATGAAACAGAATATAAGTGCCAAAATCTGCAAAAAAAACAATACCACAAAGTAACAAAAATAAATATATTCAGAACACGTCGGAATACACAGAATCTAACCCTTTTGCCCAGAGATGTGGGTATACTAATCTAAGAAGTATATTTTCTGCAACCTTTAGAAAATGACCGCATACATTCCTCACGAGCTATGAAACACAGTAAATAAAAAGATATACTTTCATGATTTTTGACAAAAAAAGGAGGACAACCTTAGCTAAACCAACATATAAAAACACTTGAGATGTGAGAAGGATATCACGAGCTAAGAATACCAAAGGCACTAACGTCATTCGGCTAAGTGAGACGGAACAGCCTCAAAACATACTTTGAATACAATAATAAGAGGCAAAATCGAACTCAGTAAGCACAAATCACACATAAAGACACCTTCTATGCTTCAACGCAATTGAACAAGCAGAACATTTGAGAACTTAAACGAATGCTACCAAGGAATGTTTAAACAAAAGGTTAATGATTTTGAAGCTAAAGACAAAATTCCGAACATACAAAACTCACACATACACTCTTCGACCATATTTTCATGTAACTGACTTCGAAATACCGAGAGACAAGTCCGACATTGCTTCACAAACAGATCCAACAGTAAGAGGAAACATAACCAAAAGAGAATACAAAGCAAGCTCACGCACCATCTTCTGCGTTCATGGCTTTCCGAAGACGAAAAACTCGCATGAGTGAATCATTTGGCGTGTTGACCGACTAGCTAACTTCATTCGACTCACACAAACATCTTAATACAGCAATAACGAGCCAAGCAAAGAATGAAAGACATCCGACGAACCAGCAGCTGTCATCGACATAAAAAAAACATACAAAACATGTCGTGCTGCCTCTAGACAGTCTAATGGAGGTGAAATGAAAAACACTCGAGCGAGAAAGAAACCGAAAATCAAACAGCTAGGCCGAAACAGAGTAGGGATAGACATAATGCAAACAGATGCAAAAGCACCATCTAAACTTGCTGGAAACAGATGCTTATCGCCAGAACAGCTTGCGAAATAAAATTTAGAGTCGGCGTACATCGTGCAAGGTCAGCCAACCAACGACAATGGCTGCCTCGCGACGATGGACTCGGAAAATAGGAGAAGAACACAAGGCATACGAACTTCAACGAAACAAACCAACACAGAGTACTTCCAATAACATAGCCTATTACTTATGCAGCGATCAACAACACTCAAAACATCTCGAATATCCACACATG